AGCCATATGTAACCACGTTACCCTTCTTTCTGCTTCCAAATTTTATAACAGAAAGGGTCCAGACAACAAATTACTTTAATAAAGGAGACCAGCTCATTTGCATATTAGCAGCCCTCCCAGATTTACTAACTATGCCAAAGTGTAAATAGATTGTACTTAATCTAAAACCTCAGGCATTTGAGACAAAAAATAGTGTTTGTTTATGTCCTTCAAGTCTGAAAAATGTACAGGTACAATGGATTTTATATATTCTAAATAAACTTTTCTCAACCTTTCTACTCCAGAGGAACCCTTAAAAGATGTCCAGGTCTCGCAAAATCATTTTTAAAACCAATTCATCAGGGGGCAATGGCAAAAATGACTCTTACATTGGTGGACAGTAGGAATGTCCCCTTTACAATAGTGGTCAGAATATCACCTTTACCAACAGCTAACTATGCAGGCACCATCCGATGGCAGGTTAATCAGCTCACGGTCCAGAAATGGCTGGTCTAAACATACTATTAGCGGTTTTCATTTAAAAGTCACAGATAATTATTCTCATGATTTTATTTATTCAGATGGACCAAGATATAAATAAATATATCAGGAATTGATGTCTGTTTAAAGAGTATGTCTTCTACATGAGTATTTAACTTTCATTATAAAAGCAGAAATGCCCTTTCTATGAAGCGCCGTTTTCAGTCCAGTGTAATGATGGAAAATAATTACATTCAATGAGTTTCCCAGTCTGGTGCTTATGACCATTTTGACATCAATTAGTCCTATTAAGTATACGTAGACGTAGTATACCGCAATCAGCTGATCAGTGGGGGTTAGGCTGGATCCCTAATAGAAAGACATATGAGGTCTCCCACTGCACTCCTGACCGAGAAATGCTGAAATGACAGCGGATGGCGCCGCTGAATCAGATAAACAGAACAATAAGTCACCAGCATTCCAAAAGTTTCTCCAAGCAATGTTCTTTTTATTCCATGTGAAGCGTTACATCACCAAGTGTAGCAACATTTCGGAACACATCCGGTTCCGTCATAAGGCAAAACAAAGTGAAACATGTACAGTGTAGTGATCACAATATATACATAAGTGCAGGCAAAAACTAATGTGACATACAAGCAGTTCCCCACATTTGAAGATGGTTGGAAATTGACCACCACGGACATATCGTCTTTATACACGAGCATACCAAATGAAGCAGGTCCAGCAGATTAAGGGCACACCGATCGGCAGCTCTGCCGTTAACCTTTTTGTAGGGTTTCTTGAACTAGTTCATGTCTTTCCATCGAAGGTTTATCAGATGCATGTGAAATGTTGGAAAATGTATATAGATAATGTTTTTGAGCTCTGGGATGGTGATGTCTCCCTTTTCAATGATTTTGTGACCTTTCTTAATGGTATTTTCCTAGGGATCATCTTTAATCCTGAAATCTCAGAGGTTGGAGTGGCTTTACTCAATGTTTTTGTATCAACGCATACACATCAGCTACACACTTCCCTTTACTCAATGCCTACTGATAAGAAAGAATACACTTATACATTACAGCAGTTCACACCCCAAACATCTTCCTAACAGCTTGCCCATATCACAGTTCCTTCGAGTTCTGAGAATTTGCTATGGGCCTGACTCACACAAACACCACATCAGTCTAATGTACTAAAAATTCATAGAACGGGGCTATCCCACAGAAGTGGTAAATTAAGCCCTATCTAGGGCCATTGAGAGAATGGGATGTGAACTCCCATCAGAAAAGTAGATAGTAGACGGAATTGCATTCATTCAGACTTATACCCCAACATCATTAACAGTAACGTAAATCGACAGTGAGAAACATGAACATATTACATGCTGACAAAACCTTGGTTCCATTGGTTAAAACACGACCGTTACAGGCATATCGCCGTAAAAAGACACAAAGATTAATTAATTCAGGATGACCCAAGGAATAAGTACTTGAAACCCACATTCAAACTGTCACATAGAACTGGGTGTTACAGGTGTCACAACTTTTACACACCCTCATAAGGGCAACAAATTCAGATCAGACTCTACAATTGCAATACTGACTTTTGGTGTACAGGTGAAGCTCGACTAATTAGAATATCGTGCAAAGTTCATTTATTTCACTAATGCAACTTAAAAGGTGAAACTAATATATGAGATAGACTCATTACATGCAAAGCAAGATAATTCAAGCCGTGATTTGTCATAATTGTGATGATTATGGCTTACAGCTCATGAAAACCTCAAGAACCCCAAATCCACAACCTCAAAAAAGTTGATTATTACATGCAATCAATAAAACAAGGATTGTACATAGAACAATATCGGACCTCTGAAAAGTACAAGCATGCATATGTACTCAGTACTTGGTTTGGGCCCCTTTTGCAGCACTTACTGCAATTACTTTTGCACGATATTCTAATTATTCAAGTTTCACCTGTATATGCTCAAATCTCCCTGTGCCCTTGTCTATGTTGGTAAAACCATCGGCCCCTTCAAAAGACGCTTGCAAAGACACCGCAGTGACATTAAGGTCACTCTAGCCAAACTTTCCAAAGGAGAAGAGATTGACAAAACTAAACCAGAAGTGGTGCATTTTGCACAACAGAAACACCAAACACAGGAATTAAGAGGAATGGTTATTGACCACGTTAAGGCGCCCCTACGAGGTGGCAATAGAGAGAAAAACCTGTTACACAAGGGGGACGTATTGGATTTACACTCTTGATACTGTCACACCGAAAGGTCTTAATATTACCTTGTCTTATACTTGTTTCCTTACTGGCAGATTATTAGGATTTGGTGGGTTATACCTTCTTTGTTAATATTCTGCTCTTTGAATATTCTTGCTTTTAATTTACCCCATGGGTGGTCATAAGAGCTTGGGGTTATTATTACTCTTTCCTTTGTCAACTATATGCTTCCCCCTTCATTAGCTTCCATGTTCCCGCAATAACTAGTTACACCACATGTGGGAGAAACACAAGCTATAGCTTTTACGCATGATGACATGTGTTTATAGTTGAAATGCATGTTACCAGATTATTTTCTCCATATTTTTTTTAATATGTTTATTATACTTCTTTTTTTAATCTCGGGCTGTCTGTTACCAGAGCCTACGGGTCGGTTTTCTACTGTTATAGGTTTGATTATATGTTTCCTATTTAATAGGAGATCTTATATTTATACAATGATGATGTCGCTCTGGTTAGTGATTACGATCATGATTGGCGTCTCAGTATACCGCAAGCTACAGCTCGCGGTATACTGAGCCTAGGGTGATGGGAGGATGCTAGTTTGTGTCCTCCCGTTACCTTAAGGTGCACTATGGGGAAAAGCCTTAACCTCATAGTTCTCCTTTAAGACAGACATTTTTGATCCCTTCCTTTGGCACAACTTGTTTTTGTTTATGGTTGTCACTTAAGGTTGTCCAATTTTACATGCACCCGCGCGTGTGCATTGGCAAGTCATCCTGCACATGCAGGCACCACAGTTCCTCACATTACTGGGAGGCACCAGCAGTGGCGTAACAACCGGGGGGGCGGCCGGTGTGTCTGCTCCGGGCGTTAAGCTGAGGGGGGGCGCCGGACGGAGCCCCCCCCGGTTATTATGCCACTGCGGGATTTGGCGGGTCTCTGTTGCTGCGGTCCGGTCAGACTCGGACTCTCTCCATGGCCGCCCGTGCGTATGTGCGGCCGCGCCGCCTGTAGTGTCACTCCTCACGCAGGCAGCAGGCTCCTCCCACAGTCTCGGAGTCTGACTCTAATTAATAAATAAAAATTAATTTAAAAAAATGAAAAAGTTTCTAAAAAAATAAAATATTAAAATTTGAAAAATTAAAATAAAAACATGTGTGTGTGTGCAGGGTACAGTTCCAGTGGTTGTTTATATAATGGGGGGGTGAAAAAAAAATTCTGCCCCGGGCGCCCAGAACTCTGGTTACGCCACTGGGCACCAGCAATACTTGGTAACCACCCATGCCCGTGTCATACATGAGTGGGGCAGTACCAGTGACATGCTTCATGTGTGGCTGACAATCCAGAGGGGAGGTAACTATAACAGTGATCGGCTGGTTTACTGCACTTCGCATTCAATAAGGTGGTATGAGCTGATCCTTACTAGGAATTAAATGTTTGCTACTTTTTACATCCTTTTGGTCATTATTACGAATATGACATCTGTAAACACAACTGGCGGGACTGTGACATGATGATGCCGTGGGGCGGAGCTTGTATGTCACATTGTTTTTTGCCTACACTTATGTATTTATTGTGATCACTACACTGTACATGTATCACTTTGTTTTGCCTGATGAAGAAGCCGGATGTGTTCTGAAACGTTGCTACACTTGGTGATGTAACTCCCTAATAGAAAGAGGTATTTGTTTTTGTTTTTTATCTGGGATATTTTTGCTATATACCAATGTTTTATACTCACAATATCCTTCCTAGTGTAATAAGAAAAATACGCTGCACTAATGACTATGGCATTTTACGCAGTCTGTGTAGTATCAAAAGTGCCTCCTTTCCATGTTAGCGGCAAAGCAATGTTGGCTTGCTTACACTGAGGAGGAGCACTAAGATTTCCTTTGCCCATGTAACAGAGTTCACAGAAGTTCCAACAACAACAAGTTGGTATACAAGATCTCATTTGCACTGTTGCAACTTACTGTATATTAGATTTCCTGCCAACACAGCAAGAGATGAATAGACAGGGGGGAGTCAGCAATCCCATGTTTAGTTCATGCATAGTTAATGGTTGGAACATCTCAGTGACAGAATATAAGATTAGACAATAAAAAAACAAACATTGAAGTTGTTCATAGAACAGACTTGGATTTACCACGACAGATATAACATTTTCAAAATTGCCATTAAATGTGCAAATAGGGCTAGAAGATCACCTCTACTTAGACTGATCACTGCATATGAATGACTTAATCCTACCTGACTACTCATCAGTTTGGGTCCTCTGCTTTGCTTTTTTTCTGCTGTCTTACCTGTGGTTCACTCATAATCTCTGGTGTCTCATCTGTCTGCAGTATGTCTGCCTTGATAGTATCAAGAGCACTTAGGATCCAACCGTGCTGCCTCCGTATCTGCTTCTGTAGCTCCTTCCATTGAGCAGTAATCATCTGAACCATCTCCTGGAAACCTGTTTCAAAGTGATATAACATGCTGAGTGCAGGAAAAATACTCAACACAAATCAGGAAAGCATTAAATGTATACATGTGAAAGGACACAGTGTACATGGCTTTGGTACTATTGAAACAATGAGCTGCTTTGCAATTTGCAGGCTTTGTGTTGGTGTCTTGTGCTGCATCCTGCAAGGCTCATAGGCTCCAAATATCATGATCATATGGGGGATATTTAGTAAGGTAAATGCAATTAAAAAGTGGTGTTTACCTTGAATGGCTATTTACTGCAAACAGCTGTGACCACTTAGTGAGCATCTGCAGCAACGCCAAAATTGTTAGCACCATCGCAAAGGTGGAGGACACTTTAACCTCTAGCGAGGCATACAGCTGGCTCTCTTTCCCTGACACACTCCATTAAGAATGTTGTAAATCAGTTGTAAATAACTACCTGTGACAAAATGTGTTGGTTTATGTAGGAAGCCAGCACCGCCTTGCTTCCTGCCAACTCCGCTGCAGGAAAGAAAAAGAGTGCCCTCTGGACGCTTGAAGGTAAATGGCAATATGTATGTATTTCTTAGACACTATCAGGAGACTAAAGACCAGTACCATTTCTGATTGGTGCTGGCTGCAGTGTAATTAATCACACAGTCATAAAGGGGTCTTGTTGAAAGGGCTGCCTACCATCAAACACCTACATTTACAGGGTTACAGGGTTACACATACCACTTGAGTGTGTAATAACAGTATTTTTATCATCATGGCGTCTTTTCATATATTTATGTAACGCAGGTAAAATTAGGTGAACTTGTTTATTAAACTATCTAAGGGAAGAATTATTTTTCACAATCCCAAAAGCAAACACATTCCTCTTTTATGCCTTTCTATACAGCCAAGGGAGAATCTCATTGGTTTTTGTCATTCTTTTACAGATGAGGCCATCATCATCATTTAAATATTTCAAAGATGGGCAGTAGCTAGCACTGACATCTTGCAGTTTTCGGTTCTCAGCTTTGACCATTGTATGTTCTCCCTGTATTTTACTGGGTTGCCCCTCAGTGCTCACATTTTCTCCCATGATCCAAAAAACATACTTCTAGATTAGGGGATTGATTGATAAAGAATTTGCAGTGCCATTCTCCCTGAGAATATCTGTGAGCATTTATCCTGTACATATATATGCACATATAAACGTTCTTTAGTTCTTCTGCTTACAAATGTAATTAAATGTGAACATTCTGGTTGTAATATTACATTATGGCCACTAGATGGTGATAAAGGAGCAAAGGAAATACATATTTATTTTCTATGCTCCTTAGCTCTGTCTAGTGGCCATAATGCATTATTGCAACCTGAATGTTCGAATTTAATTATACTCTTAAAGGAAAAAAATAAACAATGTTCCTTTGTCCTTTGTCAGGGATCTCAAGTCTCCCTGATGTTCAGGGAGTCTCCCTCTTTTAGATAGCGGCTCCCTGACGTCCGCGAGAGAGGCATTTTCTCCCTGAAATGTTTACTCTGAGTAAACCTTTCTGGTAAGATATCAGTGGGTAAAGTTTCAGAGTGAGGCTTGCCTCCTGGAGGAAGGTCATGTGATCTCTAGAGTAGCCTCAGGACAAGGCTTGGCTCTCAGAAGGAGGAGCTACTTGCTGCACAGAGAGGGCGGACATAGACTACTATTGAGAGCAGGTACAGGCACTGCTGCAGGGTTGAGAGAGTGCTGTTAACCCTTTGTGGATAATATAGAATCAATTATATGTCCTGGTTGTCTAGTTATAGAGAACATTTATTTCATTTGCTGCCCATAGCAACTAGTTAACGCTATATCAGGGACTTTACTCCTCAGCGGTTTTTTTTAAAAGGTCTTTATTACTTATACTTATTATTTTATTTATTACGTATTATATTACTTATATATATTACTTATATTACTACAGTTGGAACATTAGATTGTAAGTACAATGGACATATGGACCAACGGCAGGGAAAACAATTTTATTTTTCTTTTGGACAGGGTGGGGAAGGTTTGTACCCTCTGTCAGGATTTTATTTGCCCTCTGTGTCCCCATTGGGGACATACCCCTCACTTTTTTTCAGAAAATTCAGAACAATAAACAGATGAGATCAGTACTGCACAATCCTAGAAAATCCTACATAAAGAGAAAACTGATTCAATCAATATGCTTACATAATCACTCAGAAAACAAAAACAAAAGACACAATACTAAATGCCACAAATGATCAAAGATAATAGTCCACTTCAATATATTGTTCAACACACCATGAATCGTGCAGAGCCCATTCAATCACTGAGGACCCTGTTGTGTGTAAAATGCCAGCACTATTGCAACCAAAATAATATTCACCAAAATTATCAGACCAATTGTCACAGCAGGTATTATTACAGCAATAGATGGAGTATATATGCACTGCTGTCCAGTTGTCAGGACTGTCTTCCCTCCAAGCATCCATCGAGTGACAATAACACTAGTGTTACTAAGAATCAGTTCAGGTGTTTATTTTCCACCTGCAGGCTGGGATTCAATCAGTATTATATACTATTTCACTGTAATAATGGCCTGCATTCAGCAGGATTCACTGTACATTTGGATGATACACTGTAGGTCTTTACACATAACTTTCTTGTAAGCAGCTATTAGAGCGAAACATCACATAGTTTAGATCAGCCATCCTCAACCAGGGTTCTGTGTATCCCTAGGGTCCCTCCAAAGGTTGCTAGGGGATCTATAAGCAATGGAGGATTGACCTCCCAGATGATGGTGCCTTCGTAGTACTGGTGCCAATGTCACTTTGTAAAACCAACTGCATGGGACAAGTGGAGTCTGTTCTCGTTTCACAGATAAGTTACTACTAACAGTAATGACCCTTTTAGCTGTCCGTAATAGATGGATTTTTCCCACCTTTAATATAAGGACCTTTAATATAAGGGACGCTATTTGCACTGATCACCAGCATTTGGGAGCTGTCTTCACAGAACATCTATGTAGAGGGGCAGTACACTGACCATCAAAGTAATATGGCTGTCTTCTTTTTTTTGCTGGCCATTATATGATTCATTTTAATTTCATGAATATTACTGAATATATTATTGTTGTATAGAGCAGGGGGTTGTTAAAAATAATCCACCTTGGGTTTTATATACCCTAGTTATGTCACATTCTTTGTTCTTTTCTACATCCTATTGACTATGATAATGTGCTACAATAATTTTAAGCAGAGGTTCCCTGAGACCCAATAATTTTTTCAAGGGTTCCTTTGGGCTAAAAAAATGTTAGAAAGTCTGGCTTAAACAGAATTCCAGCCTTCAGGAAAACAAAAGAAGCGACTATAAGCTCCTGAACAGGTAATCAGCTAAATCAGGGATTTATGACAGATGCTATGACTTTTTTTTAAGAAAGCGCTTTTTCGAGGTAGGCTCAGACGAAGTCTATTTCTATATTCAGAAAAGCATATGTAATGGAAGAGTTTCAGTTTTAAAAATCGATTCTGCTGAGGTTTATTTGTGTCTGTGAGACTCTCACCGTGTCACTGGGGCACAGTTTGAAAAAGCTATACAGTATTGATGGTATAAGGGTTGTGGCATATGTGTGCTGTGCATACAGTGAGCAGACCCAAGTTCTATTTAAGTTTGCCCCTTTTACTGCCTGCATAGTGAGGCCACACCCACTGTTTGCTGCAGAGGGCATAGTGCGCCGCATAATGTTTGTCCTTGAGGTGCCCCAGGTCTTTCACAATCCTACCAATACCCCTGACAGTGATACATTTACTTAAAATTAATTAAACTATTAAAAAGAAAATCAGTCAATGTAAGCTTCCTTATCACTAGTATACATACCTGAATATTTCTTATAATAATATTATATATACAGTATATAACAATAGAGTACAAACTTTTTGTAATCCCCTGCGTAGCAGAACTAAAGCTGGCCATACACTGTGCGAATTTTGTCCGGTTCTTGATGAACTGCCCAAAATTCGCTCACTGGGTGGTCCTGTGGGCAGCTCTCTGTCCAGCATCTTTTCATCAGAAATTTTTTGTACGAACAATGACGGCATCCAACCGTTTGCCTTCACTGTTCGGTTGTTCGCACAGTGGCACACCCACTGCTGTGAGAATACGATATCACCTTGAGGGATGGAGCAATCTGTTATATTTTTTTTGTTCAGCTTACAGTTTGGACAAAAAAATTAGAACAGTGTATGGCCAGCTTTGGGCTGGAGGTAGGAGGAACAGCATTGTAAGCCAAGTAGTCTCCATTACATTCTTCTGCACTGTCCATCTAGAATTGCTGCTGCTTAATATTTAACATTTCACTGTTTTACAACCAGCCAGTCTTTTACTGATCTAGGTCATATGCTCACTCGTGTCCTCAGCTGAATTACAGCGGGGAGGGCTCCGTGTCTTACTTAGTTTTACTTAATTGTACCAAGGTGACAGAGTCCACCTTCCTGTGTCCCAGCTAGAGAACAAAGGCAAGGCACAAGTGACCAGCTATGGAGCTGTATCATGTGTATACATGACCAGAACCTGAACTAGATAGGCTGGTCAAAAAAAAAACATTAGAATTATCAAGTTTCTCTGTATTCAATTCATGTATCTTAACTTTGCCATAACTGCATGCATCCTTTAAAATAACTGAAGTGTTTGTTATGTAGTAAACACAATTTAGAAAATAATAGAGTATTGGGTATTCATGATCTGAATGGTTATTACACTGAAGTCTGAGTGACCAGGACCCAGGAGAAAAGAGCAGTCATTTTAAAAGAAAGACCTTAGAATAGGGCACGTCGGTGACTATAGAGCTATGCATAAGAGAAGGAGCAATATGTGTATATAACAATCTCTGTCACTGTAAGTGAAGGTCTCAGTGTTAATGTAAATATTAATAATACATCAAAAGTCAGCTTGTTATTTACTGACACACAGTATGATACTCATCGTCACTGTGTGCCTTCCCTGTAACTCATTACTATTTCATGCAGAATTTCAAGCTTCAG